CCCCCCCCCCCCCCCGGCCCCGGCGGCGCGGGGGGGGGGGGGGGGGGGGGGGGGGTCTGTGCCTGCATTCAGCGCCCTGCGGCTAGAGCATTCAGGGCGACCGGGTCTACTATCTCGGGACCCAAAATGCCTCAATGGTACGAGGAAGCGCATGTAGCACGCCGAGAGTGAAGTTTGCTCAGAAACATCACTGAGAAGGGGTGGGGAGGGCACACCAAGAGCAGGCGACCTGGTGCAAGGGCAACCCACACACTCGTGCACCTCGGCATCGATACACAATGCCTCGACAGAGCAAGAGTGCTGGGTTTACGGGATGATGTTGAACCCCGGATGCAGACCGGGAGAGGCAACCCCTTTCGAGGGCCCGACATCAGGAAGTTGCGCGCCTTACCAGGACCTTCTGGAACCTCGGCTGCACGGTGGGTCACCAGGTCAAAAGTCTCTGACGATCCCTTCCCAGCCCATATCTGCTATCATTTCCCTCAACCTGTACGCACACTGAGCACATCGCCGGGCACATCCCCGAGCACTCACTCACGAGTCAAGGCTTGATCATCAGCCGCCCTCCCTCCCCGCCTAGCCACTCCCACCCACAAGAGCTACATCATGGCCGCAGAAACTGAGACATATGCCTTCCGTGAGTGCTGAGGAATGCATGTGTGCCCGTGGACCCGCCCCGCTCCCCTTTTCCGTCCCCCTTCTAGAACCCGCGTGCTGACCCCCCCTTCCCTCCCCCCCGCCCCGCAGAGGCCGAGATCAACCAGTTGCTCTCCCTGATCATCAACACCTTCTACTCCAACAAGGAGATCTTCCTTCGCGAACTAATCTCCAACTCCTCCGATGCCCTGGACAAGATCCGGTACCAGTCCCTGACCGACAAGTCGGTGCTGGAGTCCAACCCGGAGCTGTACATCCACGTCGTCCCCGACAAGACCAACCGCACCCTGACCATCACCGACTCCGGCATCGGCATGACCAAGGCCGACCTGGTGAACAACCTGGGCACCATCGCCCGCTCCGGCACCAAGTCCTTCATGGAGGCGCTGTCCGCCGGCGCCGACATCTCCATGATCGGCCAGTTTGGCGTGGGCTTCTACTCCGCCTACCTCGTCGCCGACCGCGTGACGGTGGTGACCAAGCACAACGACGACGAGCAGTACCTGTGGGAGTCGCAGGCCGGCGGCTCCTTCACCATCACCCGCGACGTGGAGGGCGAGCCGCTGGGCCGAGGCACGCGCATGACCCTGCACCTGAAGGAGGACCAGCTGGAGTACCTGGAGGAGCGGCGGCTGAAGGACCTGGTGAAGAAGCACTCTGAGTTCATCTCCTACCCCATCTCGCTGTGGACCGAGAAGACCACGGAGAAGGAGGTGTCCGACGACGAGGAGGAGGCGGAGGCGACCAGCGAGGCCAAGGAGGGTGAGATCGAGGAGGTGACGGACGAGGCGGCGGCGGCCAAGGAGCGCAAGACCAAGAAGGTGAAGGAGGTGTCCCACGACTGGGAGCTGGTGAACAAGCAGAAGCCGATCTGGATGCGCAACCCCGACGAGATCAGCCGCGAGGAGTACAACGCCTTCTACAAGGCGCTGAGCAACGACTGGGAGGACGCGCTGGCCTACAAGCACTTCTCCGTGGAGGGGCAGCTGGAGTTCAAGGCGGTGCTCTTCTGCCCCAAGCGCGCGCCCTTCGACCTCTTCGACACCCGCAAGAAGCAGAACAACATCAAGCTGTACGTGCGTCGCGTGTTCATCATGGACAACTGCGAGGAGCTGTGCCCCGAGTGGATGTCCTTTGTCAAGGGCGTGGTCGACTCCGAGGACCTGCCCCTCAACATCTCCCGCGAGATGCTGCAACAGAACAAGATCCTCAAGGTAGGGGGGAGGAGAAGGGAAGGGGGGTTCTCCGGCCCCGGTGGGGGTCGTGCCCCGCGTAGGCCCCGTCCTGGTGTGTGCTGCACACACACAGCGCCACCCCCGCACCGGCAGCCACCAGTGCACCTCCACTCCCCCCTGCCCACCAGCATCACACTCGGCCTCCCCTCCCCCACCCCCTCGCACCCACAGGTGATCCGCAAGAACATCATCAAGAAGGTGATCGAGATGTTTGGCGAGATCGCGGAGAACAAGGACGACTACGCCAAGTTCTACGAGGCCTTCTCCAAGAACCTGAAGCTGGGCGTGCACGAGGATTCTGCCAACCGCGGCAAGCTGGCGGACCTGCTGCGCTACAACTCCACCAAGTCGGGCGACGACGCGACGAGCCTGAAGGACTACGTGACGCGCATGCGCGACGGCCAGTCCGCCATCTACTACATCACCGGCGAGTCGCGCAGGGCGGTGGAGAACTCGCCCTTCCTGGAGAAGCTGAAGCGCAAGGGGTACGAGGTGCTGTTCATGGTGGACCCCATCGACGAGTACGTGGTGCAGCAGCTGAAGGAGTACGACGGCAAGAAGCTGGTGTCGGTGACCAAGGAGGGCCTGGAGTTCGACGACAGCGAGGAGGAGAAGAAGAAGCGGGAGGAGACCAAGGCCGCGTTCGAGCCGCTGTGCCGCCTGATGAAGGACGTGCTGGGGGACCGCGTGGAGAAGGTGGTGGTGGGCGAGCGCATCGTGGACTCGCCCTGCGTCCTGGTCACCGGCGAGTACGGCTGGTCGGCCAACATGGAGCGCATCATGAAGGCCCAGGCCCTGCGCGACTCCTCCATGGCGGGGTACATGTCCAGCAAGAAGACGCTGGAGATCAACGCCGCCAACCCCGTCATCGCGGAGCTGCGCACGCGGGCCGAGGCCGACAAGGGGGACAAGACCGTGCGCGACCTGGTGCAGCTGCTGTTCGAGACCGCGCTGCTGGCGTCCGGCTTCTCCCTGGACGACCCCAACACCTTTGCCTCCCGCATCCACCGCATGGTAAAGCTGGGCCTGAGCATCGACGAGGAGGAGGGCGCGGGGGAGGGCGCAGGCGACGACCTGCCCGAGCTGGAGGAGAACGCGGACGAGGGGTCGCGCATGGAGGAGGTCGACTAGGTCCTGGCGACCCTGCTCCCCTGACCCCTGTTCCCCTGCGCTGCTTCTCCCCGGTGACATCCGACCTGCTGCAAAATTCCCGTTCCTGCACAACACTTGCCTGACCGAGGGTCGGGCCGCGAAGTAAAAGCCACAATCAACACCCCAGGCACATTAAGAGTGCACAGCATGACGCAGCATAGGGTTTGTGTCGGAGGAAGGGGGTCGAGTCGCGTTGGCGAGGGGGTGGTCACGATGACCACATCTGCGGGATAATTGAATCCTCAGGGGAAAATACCAGTCTCTGCTTCCAGGTGCTCCGGCAAGCACAGCGCTGCAGGGCGAGCGGGCAAGTCCCTATATACACACTGTAAGCGCGCGGGCCTCCCAAAGAGGGCAAGGGCTCACCCAGACCAGCGGGGCGACAGGAATGTCGCTGACGCTGAATAATGCCACAGACTTCCTTGCCAAGCGCGATGGGATCGACAAGGTAGGGAGGGGGCAATGTGTCATGGGAAGCACCCGGAGAGTCGGGTGTGGTGCCCCCTTCCTCATGCCAATGCCACCCAGCTCCATCTCCCCCGTTCCATGCCCACCCGTAGACCCTCAAGGTGATCCGGTACACCTCGAGGCTGCTGCTGGCGGGGTCCCTCCCGCGATATGCCCCGGAGCTGGGGGCCCAGCTCAAGGCCCTGGAGGGGTCCCTGGGCACCACGCGCAAGGCCCTCAAGCTGGGCAAGTTCCTGGGAGGGGTGAAGAACCTGCGCAGCATCACGCCCAGGACCTCCCACGCCGCTCTCAAGCTGGTGGCGGGGGTCGGGGACACCGTCTACCTCTTCATGGAGCAGCTCCAGTGGTGGGCATCCTGAGTGGATCTCGGCAGGGCTCCGCATGGCACCCCAACACTGGCGATGCTGTCCTCAGATGGAGGATGACCAGTTTCTGGCTCGGTACAGGGCTTGGCAGTCGCTCAAAGGCATGCTCTCCCCACCCCTGATTCAAAATGCTGTGTTTCCCAGCTGCACCCACGCTCTGGCCGCCCCCCCTCCATTCACACAGGATGATCAAGGTGGGGCTGCTGAGCAAGCGCCACGCTGACTCGCTGTCCTACGTCTCGGCCTGGTTCGAGCTGGTGGGCTACTGCGGCTCCATCACGCTCGCCACACTGCTGCAGCAGGAGAGCCTGGAGCTGGAGCTGAAGATCCTGGACGACCTGGCCCGCAGCCGGCAGACGGATGAGAGTTGGGGTCCCCAAGACGAGCACAAGGTCCAGGCGCGGCTGAGCGAGTTGCGCGCTGTGCGCACGCTCCGCACGCTGAGCATCCTCCAGGACGCAGCAGGTGCTTTTTGTGAGGAGGTACCTGAGGCTTCCTTGTGTGTATTGGGAAGGGGGTTGTAGACAATCCGCATGCTCAAACCATGAGCTTTGCCTTGGAGCCAGCCCGCCTCACACACAACCCCTCCTTGACCCCCCCCTCTTACAGATTCCTTCCTGGCCCTGGCCGACATTCAGAAGAGTGGGAAGCTGCTGCAGAATCCGGCGCTGCAAGCCGCAGCGGGCCTCCTGTCTGCCGTTATATCTGGCTACACCAAGTGGCCCGGGGTGAAGCCCTGAGGTGGCAGGGGTGGGGGCTTTCTCTTTCTCTGCTCCTTTTGCTCCTTGCCACCAACAGCTTCGAGCTGAACGAATCCCCATATGCTGTGATGCCAACCCACAATACTTGTTCAACCTGCAATCTGCAGACCCTCCCTGAATGGGCTTGCAATGGATGTATAGTCAAGGTGTCCAACATATTCAAGGTGTGGCAAGCGCGAAACCAAGGGGGACAGTATCAACATGCAGGGTACACATGACGGGAAGATTGCTCCTCCCAGGCCGCGGTCAAGGCAACAGTGTGCTGCCCAGGAGGAGGGCCACTGCGGGCACCGAGAGGTTGTCATCCAGCCGCTGGGATATGGGCAGCGACTCCACCCCCGTCGACACGGCTGCGATGATGGCCACTGCAGGGTGGGACGGGAGTGGTTGTGTACTGCAGAGCGTGTTATGTGCAACACCTCCAGGGTCTGCAGCAAGGATCTTCACACGAATCGACTGCAGACCTGTAAGCTACTGCTGCATCAGCATGCCCCTGCAAGGGCACATACCAGGCACCCTCCTTGCCTGGTCCCAGGGAATCTTGCAAACTGTGTGGAACAAGGCCCAGCAAGTGATAAAAGGAGATTAGCGAGGCAGCTACCAGGAGGCTGCCTCCCAGCATGGCCGCAGATCCCGCCCAGCTCTTGGCCTGATTCCAGGGAAGGCGGGCGCCCCCTCCAAACCTCCTCCCAAAGATGTCCGCCAGCCCATCCCCTCCGCACAGCACAGCTATGACAACCAGGCCTGTAAAAGGGGAGATGGGGTGGGTTTTGGGCAAAGTATCGATATGGGAAGGAGATGTAGAGGAACTAAGCCGGATGACTGTCAGTGTCCTATGGATGCTGGAGGGACCCTCCCTCTGCCTGGGGTGGATTGCCTCCCCCCATCTCTGCATTGAAAACTGCCTGGGCTGCCTCCCCCAGCCCCTCACCGATTGGGGAGTTGCGCCAGCATGCCAGGGTGACAGCAAACAGGACGAGGACGTAGAAGAGGGGCCCCCTCAGCAACTCGGACTTGTCCCCGGTACGGCTCATGGCCGCCACGACCCGCTCATCCCTCACTAGGCCGGTGCCCACCAGCGTCAACCTGCATGGGAGGAATGGTGAGCAGCTGCTCCAGACTCCCATGCCAGAATCCAACAGTCCCATTCAGGCTGCATGCCATCCTCAGCGACAGTGTCATCTATACAAAGGGCATAGATGAAGAGTAGCCTCCAGCTGGGTGTTACTGTCGTCATGCAATGCACGCCCATTGACCAGGGCAAGCCTGGGGCCCACGCAAACTCACCGTATAACATTCAAGAATGGCACGGCAGCGGCAATGAGTTTGGACTCTGGATTGGACGCAAACAACGGCCAGCTGACGAGGAAGAGGGGCCCTGCCAACGTGTGCACCAGCTTGCGGCTCAAATTCTGGGGACAGGGGAAGGGGTCGCACTGGTGCGGGTTGAGACCAGGGTCTCGTGTCCATGCCTGCCAAACAGCTGCTTGTCAAGTGCCCCCATATTATAACATACTCCCCTGAGGACCACGGCCTGTCAATCATCACCGGATAGCAAGCATGGACTCGCATTTGCTGCACAATTCCCTGTCCATGGACCCACCCTGTCAATGATGGCGGCAGCCTCCAGCCTGTCGAAGATCTGGACGATGAGCTTGGAGCCTGTGATTGCAAAGGCTGCTGCCAGGAGGTCTCGGGTTGGGGAAGAGGGGCTGATGGCGTCACTGAGGAGAGAGGGCAGCCCACGTGCCAGGCACCGCCGGGGCAGATGCCTTGGGTCGTGACCGGGAAGTCCAGGTCGCAGCGGGGGATGCCTGACGATGAGGGGCATGGCGCAGCCCATCATCGGGGTGGCCAGTCGTGACATGAGAAGAGGGTGGGTCACAGGGGCGGGCTCGCCTTCATGCCTGCATCAGATACGATTCCGATTTCACGGGGGGTGCTGCTCCGAGAGTGGGCAGACCGGATCGACAAGGAAGATAGTGTGATGCAGCTTCCATTGATACCCAAACAAGCACCCAACCATGTCAGGTGACTTGCCGACTCCTTTGGCCGTGGGTGCCCAGGGGATGGACGCGCGTTACAAAGTGGATGCGCCCCAGCATGGCGCCCCCGCCTTCTGAGCCACCAGTTGGGGGCAGCTCGTTGGCGACACCCATCCACGCTCTTTATCACAGCACGGACTACGATTAACTATTTTAGGCAACCCTTTGAAAACACCGTCCATGGAACAACGATCACATGTATTCTCACCGCTCACTGCGTGGCCCTCTGAACCCTGCATGAACCGCAATGCTCCTTCGCCGGGAGCACATGCTGCCTGACGGCAATCGCGGATGTTGAAGCTCCAGCATGCCGGCCCCGCTGTCCGAAGGGTTGGGCGGAGCGCATGCCTCGTGCTGTGCAAGGACAAGCGCGACAGGAAGGCTGCCCTGGACAAGCAGGGACGACGCAAGCCGAAACAGGAGGCGAGCAGCATCCCCCAGGCCAGCGCACCCCCTTCCCAGGCACCTCCCCCCCGCATCCAGACCAACAGCCTGGTCTCTGTGCGGGCCCAGCAACGCTTCCTCGCCCAGGTGGGTGCCTGGGCTGGGTGGGCTGGGTGGGCGGGGTTGTGGAACGCAGTGGAGGTGTTGGAGTGGCTGAGCACAGCGAGTCTACAACAGCTGCAGGCCTGGGACACGGATGCGCTCCCCCACCACGCTCGGCCAGCCACTCCCCTCTCAGGAGCGGAAGCGCGAGAGGGCAGCCGTGGCGCCGACACAGCCGAGCCCGCCAAGGGCATACCGCCGCCCTCCCAAGACCCCCGAGGAGCTCAGGCAAGCACTGATGGGGTGTGTGCGTCGCCGTGATACCATCCATCTGCTGTCCCTTGACCAGCCTGCCCTGGCCTGGGTAGGATTGTGATGGATGTACGGGTGGGAAGCACTCCCTCCCCACCGAACACATCAGGCAACCTCCCCGCGCAGTCCGCCTCTAGCATCCCCCGCCCATGCCCCCTCCAACAGGCAGGAGAGCGCGGTGCGGCGCGAGGCGGCGCGGTACCGCAGCACGTGCGCGGCCCTGACCCAGCTTTACGGCAGCTGCCGCCTGGCTGCGCCCCCCGTCCTCCTCGTGGATGGCTACAATGTCATGCACAAGGTTGAAAAGTGGTGGGCGGGCGCATGTGCAGGGTTTACTCGTGCGCCCGCTTCCCACCCTTTCTTCTGGGTCGTGCGTATGGCCAGCCCGCATCGGCGCTGCTGCCCGATGTGTCATGCCACTCTGATGGACTGACGGCCTGATCCTTCGTCATTGCACCCTCAAGTACCCACTTGCCCCCCTTTCCAACCCCCCAGCTCCCCGCGTGCAAGCCGCTGCTGGCGGCCGGCGACCTGGAGGCCGCGCGCGAGGCGGCGGTGGAGGCGCTGGGCGTGCTGAGCTCGCGGCGCAGCGTGCGCGTCGTGGCGGCCTTTGACGCGCTGCGCGGCCCCTGCGCATCCCAGAGCCAGTCGCTGACGCGCTCCGGCGTCACCGTCGTCTTCTGCGGCGCGCAGGAGGCCGACTCCTACCTCCAGGGCGCGGTAACGGGGTGGGTGCGTGACCCGGCCTGCAGCCGCGTGGTGGTGGCCAGCTCCGACGCCATGGTGAAGACCATGGTGGAGGCCAGCAGCACCCTGCACGGCGCCGACACGCCGGTGGTGGTGGTGTCGGCCACCTCCCTTGTGGCCGAGATCGCAGCCGCCAAGAAAGAGTGCGTGTGATTTGGATGGGGCCCACGGGCTGGTGCTCTGGAAGATGGGACAGATGACTGACTGCAGCGTTCCAAATCCGTCATGCAGGAGGGTGCCGTGGGCACCTACACTGCCTGCTTCACCCAAGGGCCCGCCTGGATCCTCCCACCTCACCGCCAAACTCCCTCTCTCGAAATCCTCGTTCCCAGGGTCGCCGCGGCGCTGCACGCGTCTGCCCTCAGGCGCGGCCCCAACCGCCTAGGCGCCGCCGTGGCGGGGAGCGGGGATGGGTCGGTGTACTCCCGCCTGCACCAGCTCCGCCTGCGCCTGGCCCGGCGCCCGCGCGGCGGCGAGGCGCCCGGTCCCTGACGAGGAGGGTCCTGCTGTGATTTCCCCCCCCCCCACCGGCATGCCCACCCCATAGGGTTCGGGCACCGCTGTCCGCCTTTGCCCCCCCCCCCACCCCCGCACCTCTCCTCCTATTCTTAATTGATACAGTGATTCACACTCGAGCGTGGATGAAATGCGGATGCGTCCGCCCAAAAGACCTTGCTGGGTGCTGGCATTCCGGTCACGGTGAGCAAAATGACTTGGGGAAAAAGGGTGTCCTGGGCGGTGATGCGGCGCAGGGAGGTGCTGAGGGGGAGGGAGACGGGAGGAGAGCACCCGGGCCTCCCCTCCCATCACTCCCTCGCCGGGCCCTCCTCCGGCCCCGGCCGCGCCGCTGCCGCCGGCTTCAGGCCGATGCCGGTGGGCCCCGGCTCGCCCTCGTGGTTCCAGTAGCAGAAGGAGCCGTCCAGCTGGCTTTCGGAGGCCCCGTCACCATCATCCCCCGCCGCCCCCCCCTCGCCACGGCGGTCCAGGATGTGGTCCATGCGCGCCTGCTTGGCGTCCAGGTAGCCGCGGGAGTGGGGCTGGGCGGGGACCACGCAGGGAATGCGGCCCGTGACCGCCACGCCCAGCGCCGCGACCTCGGCCATCTTGCGTGGGTTGTTGGTCATCAGCCGCACGCTGGGCACGCCCAGGTCGGCCAGGATGTGGGCCACCGCGCTGTACTCGCGGCAGTCGTCCGGCAGGCCTAGCGCGCGGTTGGCGTCCACGGTGTCCAGGCCCCGCTCCTGCAGCGCGTAGGCCGCGATCTTGTTGGCCAGGCCGATGCCGCGCCCCTCCTGCTGCAGGTAGATGACCGCGCCGGGGGGGTGGCGCCGGATGTGGTCCATGGCCAGCACCAGCTGCTCCCGGCAGTCGCACTTCAGGCTGCCCAGCACCTCACTGGTGAAGCAGGCGTCGTGCACTCGCAGGGGGAGCTGGCGGGAGGGGGGGGGGGGGGGGGGCAGGGGTGGGGGGGGGGGATGGAGTGGCG